ATTCTCCTATGTTTTAGAGCAAGCCAACCACAAATAGAACTTTAAGAAATTGCTTGTATATCATGAACATGAGTCTGTGATAGCAAATGTTCTCCGACCTGGGAATGCCTGCTAGAATTGCAGTCTCTGGATTCAGAGATGCACATGTGTCGTGTTACTGAAATGGAACTGTGACAGTGCCTCTTTTGGCAATGGTGTTGTCTTATTACCCAAGCTATACTAAAATAATAATGGTGTCTTTGAATTGAGGAAATACAGTATTTGATAATAGGCATGTTCCTTGAACTTCTTATTTGTGGATATTCAGGTTATTTCTAGGTTTTCATATATACTAGGATCCTTGATTCACGCCCCCCCCCTTTGGATAGTATTCTAGATGTGAGACTGCTTAATTAAATGTGTATAAATTTTGAGGCTCTTGAGTTTTTTTTTTTTTTTTTTTTTTTTTTTAAGCGACAAAGTTTTCTATCTTCCCAAGCTGGTCTGGAACTGAGTGTGTAAAGCTGTTCTTAACTTTGTGGCAGTCCCCTTGCCTCACCCTCCTGAATGCTGAGATGACAAGCATGGGCTGCTAATGCCTTGCCAAATTTCTTTAAGCCTTTTAAATTGTTTTTGTGTGTCCAGGGGGACAGGGGTATCTGCTGTTTCAGCTTTTCATATATTCTGTTACTGTAGTTCTAATAAAATAATGAATTTATACTCAAGTTCTTTTTGTCTCTAATATGTCTATTGATTACCATTTTATTTCATTGATACTTTGTGATGGTAGGTGGCCAGTCACAAAGAACTTGACCATAACACCCTGTAGTACAGTTTTCACTCCACTGTGGAAGCATTTGATCATAACATGCAAAGCCTTTTTGTTTTAAAATATTTTTCTTCGCACAATTCATACCTTAAGTTCAGGAGCAAGGATGTCTGTTCTAGCCACTTCTATTTAACCTTGTATTGAAAGTAAAGTGAACAGAACAGGTAGGTAAGAAAAGAAATAAAAGGCATTTAGATAGCTATTATATTAGTTACTTCCCTTGTTGTGGTGACAAAATACCTGAGAAAGGCAACTTTAGGTTTGTTTTGGCTCACAGTTTGATGATGCAATCTATCATGGCAGGGGAGTCATGGCAGCAGTACAATGAAGCACCTGGTCACATTGCATTCAGTCAGGAAACAGAGTGAGATGAATGCTCTGCTGCCTTTTTCCTTTTTATTCAGTTGGACACCAGGCCATAGAAGGATTCTCCCCATGTGTAGGATGAATCCTCTCACCTCAATTAATGTAGAAATTTCCTCATGGACATGCTCAGAGGGCTTGGCTCTTCAGTGATTGTACATCTTGTCAAGTTGATAGTCATCATTAACCATTATAGCAATCTATTTCTATACATAGGTAGCATTACCATAGTATATATAGGAAAAACACAGAGGAATGTTGGAATGGAAAAATGAGTTAGCAAGGCTGTAGCATACAAGATACTGAAACCATTTGTATTTCTATATATTAGTTGTGATTATCTGAAATGAATTAAAATAACAGTCCAATTTGTAATAGCATCATAAAGAAAATATATTTAGGTCTAACTTTTGTGGAAGTTTGAATATATACTGAGAAGTATAAAACATTTTCTAAAAAAAAGTTAATGAAGATTTGAATAAATGGAAAGTCATCTTATGGTAAAGATTAGTATTATGGTGTTTTTCAAATTGAGTTTAGGTTTAATTGAGGCCTTATCAAAATCTCACATGAATTCCATCCTTCGCCTCTCCTTTTTTTCCCTCCTCCAGAAAATTATGAGCTGTTTGTAAAATTGTTAGGAAATTCTAGGGACCCAGAGTATCTAGTATATCCCAGAAAAAAGTAAATAAAAATGAGAGAACTCACATGCCCCTATTTCAAAACTATCATAAATAAGACAGTGTAGGACTGACATAAAGGTAAGAATACAGAACAGTGGAATATGATTGAGAGTCCAAAAGTAAACCTTTATGTCTATGGCAGGTTGATTTCCCACAAGGGAACCTGTCTTAGTCATTGCTGTGGCAATTAAATACTCTGACCAATACCAATTTGGGGAGGAAAGGGTTTATTCAGTTTACATCTCCCAGGTTGCAGTTCATCAGGGAGCCCAAGGTAGGAACTCAGGGCAGGAACCTGGAAGCAGGAACTGGAGCACAGGCCGTGGAGGAATGCTGCTTACTGGCTTGCTCCCCTTGCCCCTGGTCAGCCTGCTTTCTTATGCCACATAGGCCCACCTTCCTAGGGGTGGCACCACCCACAGTGGGCTGGGCCTTCCCACATCACTCATCAAGAGGACACCCTTCAGACATGGCCACAGGCCAGTCCAATAGAGGAAATTCCCCAATTGAGGCCTCCTCAACCCAGGTGTGTCAAGTTGACTCTAAAGCTATCCAGCACAGCACCCCAAGACAAGTTGACAGTGAAAGAATGGTCTTTTCAAGAAATGGTGTTGGAACAACTGGATATCCATAAACAAAGAACAAAGTTAAATTCCTATCCTACACTGAACATAAGAAGTAACTTAAAATGAACCATAACCTAAATGTAAAAGCCAAAACTATTAAGACTCCATAGAAGAAAACAGACAGGCAAATCATGTTCATGCCTTCTTTTTTTTCCAGGGAGTTCAAGAATGCCTTTAGTATTCTTAAAATAGGGCTTCCAGTAAGCACTTTAAAAACCCTCGCAAAGATGCGATGAATTTCATGGTAACATTTCAGAAGCCTGCCCTCGAGTCTCTAGAGTTGGAAGGTAAAATTGCCTTTAGAGGGAGACAAGGCTATAGATCTGTCCATTCTTTAGAGCAGGGGGAGTTATCGGGGGAGTACTGTACTTGGGGGAAAGGAAGATCAAGATTGGGGAACTGTGGAAGGTTTCCCTTTTCTAGAGGATGATTTTTGAGGGGACTGAGATTGAAGAGGAGAGGATACTGGCTCAGTGGGGATGTCACAAGAGCTGAGGACGTTCTGAGCCCATCTCCCTTGTCACATAGACACTGGCTAGGTTGGAGAGGTACGTGGAGCACAGCCAGCAGTTGGAGAAACCTGTAGCACTGTTTTGGGGGGTGGCATTGGGATTTGTGGAGAGCTCTGCCACCAGTGGACTAAGACATGCAGAAATCACAGCATCAGCAAAGCAAGAGGATAGAGTTCAAGAAGCTTAGGGAGTGGACAGGTGAAGGGAAGAGTGGTGGTGAACAGTGGCTAATTCCCAGAGGCCCAGGAAGTCCATCTTGTTTGAGTGTAGTTTGAATTGAGCTGAGGAGAGTCAAGGGTAATGGGATGTGAGAAGGTTTCTGTGGTATACAATGAGGAGATTATTCAGTGTTCTTAGGGGTAGCTAATTGTAGAGCCAGGATGGCTTAGGGCCACTGAAAGTGTTATGAGATGTTTATAATTAGGGAGAGCACTTGGACTTGTGACTAAAGCAAGATGATAGCAGTAATGGAGATGAAGACACTGGGTTGTCACATTAATCTTGACTAAGAGGAGGAACTGCACCCGCTGCCATTTTGTGTGTGTGTGCGTGTGCGTGTATGCATGTGTGTGTGTGTCCTGCATGTGTGTGCATTTGTATATATGTGTATGGTTGCATATATTTGTATGTGGGAGCCAGAAGACAAGGTTGGTTGTCATTCTCCATGTACTGTCTACCTTTACTTTTGACACAGGGTCTCTCATTGGCCTGGAGCTCTTCAGGTAGGCTAGGCTGTCATGCCAGCATGTCTTAGGGATCAGTCTGTCTCTCAGTGCTGGGAGTTTGAACAAATGCTAGGCTTTTTAATGTGGGTTCTGAGGATCAAACTCAGCATCTCCTTTTGGTACTTTACCCACTGCACTATCTTCCCAGTCCTGCTCTGATATTCTAGGTTGTGTTGTATACAAAGCGCTTTTTAGTAAGATATTTGAGAAAAATGCTATGTGAATGACCGTAGGACTCATACTCTTCAGTGATCTACTTAATTTAATCATTTGGTTTCACAGGGGAAGAAAAAGTGGAATAAAGAATTATTACCCTTTCAGTGCAAATTCATCCAGTGCTCTGTTATTTATAGTGGAATAAATCAAAGTTATCAGTAATAGGATGACTATTGAAGGAGGTTTTTTATTTTATCATGGGGAAGTGATTTGAGTAGTATTCTTTTTTATTTTTTTTCTTTCATTTATTTGTTTTGATTTTTGAGCCAGAATGTCACTATGTAGCCTGGGCTGGCCTTGAATTTGTGTAGTCCATGTTGGCCTCACACTCTTGATATGGCCTCAGCTTCCCTAGTGCTAGGATTATAGGAGTGTGCTGCCATTCCTAACTTTGAAGAATATCCTTGAAGCTTGTCAAGAGATGCATATGTAGCTTTTTAAAATGCTGGATATTATATATGCAGCAGGTTTTACAATGGGCTATAAGTACATCAAAGTTTTATTTAGATAGCATTCAGTTAACCTGCTCTTAAAAACCAAGATATGAAAACACTAAACTACCTCTGCGCGCCAATATAGTTGGTTATATAATGCATGGTGTAAGAAAATTGACAATATTAGATAATTATTTTGAGTTCCTAAATGCTTTGATTCTATCCAAAAGATGTAAGTAGAAATGATTTAAAAGTTTATTTCAGTTCTTGTTAGTTTTGTTTTTGAATGCCTACATTTACTAAATATAACAAATAGACTTGCTGAAGATTTTCATTTTTTTCTTTTCTTTTTTTCTTTCTTTTTTTTTAAAAGTCTGTCAAATATTTTTTATTGTTTGGACTGAAGTATGTGTGATAGGATGTTACCATTTTCCTGTTTAGTCTGAAGGTTGTAAATCTTTCCTGCATCTTATATTCCTTTTATAAAATTCATTGTTTCTTTTTGTTTTGTTTTCAGTCGTCAGATTTTAGGGGATAATATAAATGGAAGGGAAAAAAGTAAAACTAAGGAATTTTCCCTGTTTATTTGATGTTATTGTTGTTCTGTTTTCTAAAATACCTTTTGTTTTATAGGGATTTGTCTTGGCTGTTACTATCACACGTGAAGCGATTGATGAATTTCGACGTTTTCAGCGAGACAAGGAAATGAATTCACAATTGTATAGCAAGCTTACAGTAAGAGGTTAGCAAGATAGTTTTAATCCTATCTGGCATTTGCTTAGTGTAGTCATAATTTTAGTTATCATAAAAAGGAAAACATTCTAATCTGTTCTTGAAAGCAGTATGTGATTTTATATGGTATCTGATTTTCTTATTGTATATAATACTGGAACTTAGGATAGATTTTTGTTCATTTTCTTGATGCTTAGATATACATGTGTGTATGTTCATATGTTTATATACATACACACATGTATATACAACCCAGCAAACCTATATGTGACTGCTCTATTATAGTACTTTCACACATGTGAAATCCAACTGTGCATACACATTTTATATGAAGCATGATATCACCTTACTTAAAGTCTGTTCTGCAGCCATCACCATCATCTAATTTTAGAGCATTCTTAACATTCCAGGAAAAAAAAAAAACAACTATAATTCATGGAAAGCCCTCTTCATTTTCCTCCTTTCCTTCCACCCAAGCCCCAGGTGACCTCTGCTGTATTTTCTCTGTTTCTGGTTTTCCTTCCTCTGGATGTTTCATATGAATAGAATCATACACTGTGAGGTCTTTTGTCATTAGCTTCTTTAACCTGGTATATTTTCAGGGTTTATCCATGTTGTGGCATGTATTAGTGCTTTCTTTATTGACAAGTACCATTATACTCCATGACATGCCCCATTTTGTTTATTCATTCAATATTGGGTGAACATTTGAGTTGTTTGTATTCTGTGACTGTTATGACTAACATTCCTGTTAACACTTGTATACTAACTTTTGTATATCCATTGTTTTCATTTTTCTTGGATATATTCCTTGCACTTTAGCTGCCAGATTAGATGATAACACTGTTTAGCATTTTGAAAGAACCATCACCCTATTTTCTTAATTGGCTGCATCATTGAGAAATCTTGCTGATATTGTACAAGGATTACAGTTATGCCATGTCTTCCCAGTATTTGTTGCTATCTGCCTTTTTTGGTAGTCAGTACTTTTTATTATAGTACTGGGTGTGAAGTAGTATTTTGTGGGTTTTATTTGTATTTTGCTAATGATTAATGCAGTTGAGTGTTTTGGTGTGTTTATTGGCCATTTGCATATCCTCTTTGGATAATTATGTTCATATCCTTCACCCACTTTATAATGGAGCCATTGGTCTTTCAGTTGCTGAATTGTTAGTGTTCTTTAACTATTATAGTCCTTTGTCAGATTTATGATTGCAGATAGTTTCTCCCATTTTGTGAGGTGGTTGTATTTTCACTTTCTTATTGTATAAGCATTTTGTTTTAATGAAATCAAATTCATCTATTTTTTTCTCCTTTGTGCTTTTGGTATTGTAGCAAAGAAAGAATTGGCCAACTGTATAATGATTTCTGTTTTTCTTCCAGTACGTTTATACTTTTAGTTCTTACATTTAAGTCTGATTTCATGTATAGTGTCTGGTATGAGTCCACATTCTTTTGCCTGAATATCAGGTTGTCTGGTATCATATTCTGAAGAGACTACTCTCTCTACCCTATATTTTTAAATTATTAAAAAAGGAGAAAAGGGGTAGGAGAGATGGCTTAGTAAAGTGTTTACTGCACAAGCATGAGGACGTGAGTTAGGATCCCCAGCACCTCCATAGAAACCTGAGTATAGTGTCAAGTATCTTACCCCATCGCTGGGGGAGGAGGATTATGTGGGGAGTGGAGACAGGCAGATTCCTCAAGCTCACTGGCTACTGAATCCGTGAGGTCTAGGTTCAGTGAGAGACCCTGTCTCAAACAATAAGATGGAATGCGAATGAGGAAGACACCCATTGTTGACCTGTGGATTTCATTCATTAATAAATGTATACACAAAAGTCCTAGAAAAGAAGATAAGATTCAATTTGGGGGAAAAGAACCCCCCCAATAGCTGGGAGAATTAGGTGTAACCTTACATTAAGGTTTTAATGTTGTTTTAAGAACAGTTTGTAGAACCTAACTTTTTTTTTATTTATTTATTTAATAACCACATACTTAGAAGAAGCATTTCACTATATCAGCATTGACATATTCAATAACAATTTTCTGAGCTAGGATGCATCTCTTACAAAATTGGCTGTACACTTTCAGGTTTACGGCTGAATTATTACAGTTATACAATATTGTACTCAGCATAAACCCTGTAAGACATAAAATTAAATGAAGTATCAACCTTTAAAAAAATCTCCATTTCATTATTAAAATAAACAGTTTCATACAGAAAACTTGATTTTCAATGTAACTGACATTAAGATGTTTGCACATGTAGATGTTTGCACATGTGTTTCTAATCTCTATGCATCTGATTATTACTAGTCACAGTTGGTTACTTTCTCAGTTTCTTGGCATCTGAGCACAGATATAAAGTCATCAGGTAAATTTCAGTGATAATGCTTTTCACATCTACTAATTATTAAGGAGCAAATTTTTATGTTTTGAAGAATTATTATTTTTTAATCATTATATATTTAAAAATGTTTTTAATAACTACATGATTAGAAGCTTTTCACTGAAGCTTTAACATATTCAGTAACATTCAGAGCAAGAGTACATCTCTTTCACAAGTGGGTACAAGTTTCTAGAGAACCTAACTTATTTTAAATTTTATTTTACTGTGGTGTTTTGGTTGAGCAGAGATTGGTGATTGGAATAGTGATGTCAGTGAAAACTGGTTAAGTGAAGTGATGATGTCATTACAAAATGCAGCTTAGTGGCCCTTCTGCAGTAATACTGAAAAACCAAGCAGAAACTGCCAGAGCCAACTATGTGAGAACTCTGGAAAGTGTTCAGAGTTTTGTAGCACTCACAAAATTGCTAAATCTAGATAAAGGCAACTCAAAAAATGTTAGAAAGCTTTTGGTCTGTTTATGACTGTTCTGGTTCTAGCCCCTCTCCAGCAAGACTTAAAGATGGCCGTGTACTTCCCATTTTGCAGCACAGATATCTTTTGGCATAGCGGGGCATAGGTGTTTGGCTCACTTTTCTTGAACTCAGGGCAGAGGAATGGAAAATGCCTGCATTTCTCAAGTGTGTACCCAGCTAAAGAACAATCACAGTAGTCTGGGGCAAAGGATTACAGTTAATACTCTAGTGTAGTATAGTCAAGTTCCAGGCAGCAGAGTTGGAGAGGGAAAATCTTTGGGAAATTTGAACATTCATAGGCCTCTGTATATACTGGGGAGTTTTTAGATCCACATATAAGCTGAGAACTAGGGAAATGCCAGAAAAGACCTGAAAAATTCTTTGGCCTTTGTTGATTCTATGCTCAATGCAAGTAGGAAGTGATGGCTAAGGCTGTTATAAACTACCTCAATTGTGTGCTGTACCTGGAAGGAGAGCTGGAACCTAGAGCCAGTCTTTAAAGAATGGAAAAAGTTTTGTTTCCTCCTCCCCTCTTCATAGTGGAAGAGAAACTTAGGAGAGCACACATGATAAAGAATATACACTTTATAAAAATCACTAAACACATTTGCAGCATAGAGAGTACAACAAAAACAACTCAGATTAGGGAGAAATACCTGAAATGTCTCAATCCCAGATATACTGGTTTGTTCACTTTTCCACAAAAATTAAGACGCAAACAAAGAAACATTCATAGGAGAAAATAATAATGTTTTTGATGAAGACCAGATGTTATATTGTAGACATGAAGTTTAAGCTAACTGTCTTAACTCTGCTCAAGAAGGCAAAGAAGCTATGGGAAAATTGCAGAAAGATATCAAGAGAATGATATATGAATGAGAGAGACTCTCAGAAACAGTATAGAAATGCTGTAAAAAGATGCAAATGAATTTTGGAGCTTTAATGCATGAGAAATGACAAGAGAAGCTCATGGGAAGGTTTTAGTAGCAGATTTGAGCAGGCTGGAGAGTCAATGACTACAAGTCAAGGTCAGTTGAAATGATCCAGTCTGAGAAGCAAAACAACCCAAAGAAAAACAATCAGTTCCTCAGAGACCAGTACTACAGCAATGAAGTATACCAACGTGGGCGTCCTGCAAATCCTAGGAGAGGAAGCGGGAAAAGGAATAGTGATAAGACATTGTTCGGTTTGATCAAAGACATGAACCTATGCCTTCAAGAAGTCCAGCCTACCCCAAGGATAAGCATGAAGAACCCTCACAGAGGCACGAACAGATCATTGAAACCTGTTGACCAAGAGGACATGTCACCAGAGAGCTACAAGAGCAAAGCAAGTGGTTTAAATACAACATATAGGTCACAGAGACCGTGAAGGTCTGAAGGAGGTAGGCCACATTTTAAAAGAATGAAAGCATAAACTGTCAATCAAGAATTCTGTCTGATAAAACTATGTATGTATCAGAAACTGAAGGAGAAATTAAAACATTCCCATATAAAATTCCCTGATAAGCTTTACAGTTTTATGTTATTGAATTTTATCTATTGATTATTATTGTGTGTGTATGTGCGTGAATGTGTGCATGTATATGCATGTATGTGTATACCGTAGCTTGTGTCTGGAGGTCAGAGGATAACTTGTGGTAGTCACTTCTTTTCTTCTACCACGTGTGTCCCAGGGATCTAACTCAGGTCATCAGGCTTAGCGGCAAATAAAATACCTTTACCCACTGGGCCATCTCACTGATAAACATTTTTTTAAGGTTTTTTTGTTTTTGGGGGGGGTCTTTTTGAGACAGGGTCTCCCTGTAGCCCCAGCTGTCTTAGAACTTGCTATGTAGACCAGGCTGGCTTCAAAGTCACAGAGATCTGCCTGCCTCTGCCTCCCAAGTGCTGGGATTAAAGGCATGCGCCACCATTCCCAGCTTACTTTTTTGTTTTTTAAATATTTTTTATTTATTTTATGTGTATAAGTATATTGCCTGCATGTATTTAAGTGCACCCATGTCATGCAATGTCCTTGGAGGTCAGAAGAAGGCATCAGATCCTCTGGAACTAGAGTTAGGATGGTGCTTACCTGCCATGTGGGTACTGGGATTTGAACCGGGTCCTCTACAAGAGCAGCCAGAGCCCTTAACCACTGAACCAT